TCCTCTTTTTCTTTTTTTTAAGGTTTTTATTTAAATTCCAGTTAGTTAACATACAGTGTTATATTAGTTTCAAGTGTACAGTATAGTGATTCAGCACTTCTATACATCACAGGTGCTCATCACAGTAAGTGCACTCCTTATTCCTCATCACCTGTTAAACCCATCCCCACACCCATCTCCCCTCTGGTGACCGTCAGTGTGTTTTCTATAGTTAAGAGTCTGTTTTGTTGGTTTACCTCTCTCTTTTTTTCCTTTGCTCATTTATTTTGTTTCTTAAATTCCACATATGAGTGAAATCATATGGTATTTGTTTTCTCTGATTGACTTATTTCACTTAGTATTATGCTCTCTCTAGCTCCATCCATGTTGCTAGAGATGGCAAGATTTCATTCCTCTTTATGACTGAGTAATATTCCATTGTGTAAATACACCACATCTTCTTTATCCATTCATTAATTGGTGGACACATGGGCTGTTTCCATAATTTGGCTATTATAGATAATGCTCCTGTGAACATTGGGGTGCATGTATGCCTTTGAATTAGTATTTTTGTATTCTTTGGGTAAATAACTAGTAGTGTAATTACTGGGTTGTAGGGTAGTTCTGTTTTAACTTTTTGAGGAACTCCATACTGTAAAAACAGAATTTTTCTAATTATTTTTTTAATTGAAATCTTTATTGAGATAGTTGTAAATTCACATGCAATTGTAAGAAGTAATACACTGAGAGTTCATGTAGTCTTTATTCAGTTTCCCCCAATGGTAACATTTTACAAAACTATAGTATAATATCACAATCAGAATATTGACATTTGTAAAATCTGTTGAACTTGTTCACATTTCTCCAGGTGTACTTATACTCATTTGTGCATGCGTGCGTGTGTGTGTGTGTGATTTAATTCTGTACCTTTACATCATGTGTAGGTTTATGTATCTTGCACTGCCGCCTTACAACTGTTTTGTAAAGTGCAGGAAATGCTAGAGTTAGAAAGGACTGAAAGTCTCTGGCCATGTTCCACACTGAAGATTACATGGTATTAAATGATTAGAACTAATATTTGTCCTCTAAACATTTATTTATTTTTTAAATTAATTTCCTTTAACATATTGTAAACATTTTGAGTGTAGGTAGTCACTTTGTGTTTTGTTGTATCTTTACCCACACCACAGCCCAGAGCTTACTTTGGTGCTCTGTGCAGAGATGTTCAATTACTGTTTAAAATAGAAATACGTGTTGTTGGGGCGCCTGGGTGGCTCAGTTGGTTAAGCGACTGCCTTCGGCTCAGGTCATGATCCTGGAGTCCCGGGATCGAGTCCCGCATCGGGCTCCCTGCTCGGCAGGGAGTCTGCTTCTCCCTCTGACCCTCTTCCCTCTTGTGCTCTCTATCTCTCATTCTCTCTCTCTCAAATAAATAAATAAAATCTTTATAAAAAAAATACGTGTTGTTAAATAGAATTAAAAAGTAGAAATGTCTTAGGTATTTTTTCTGCTTTTGAACCGAGACTAGTATTTTTCAAAGCTCATATCCTATTATGTTCCCTTGCACATATGTTCTGCTACCTGAAAGTACTTTATGGATGTTTGATCTTGTGAAGGCAGTGTTGTTACCTTTGATAAAAAAGTAATTAGGTGAGCATTTCTGGTAAAGGTAATCATCAAAGTCTGAAAGTACATATTTCCTTTTAACTATTGTAGTCGGAGGTATGCCTCCTCCCCGCCATGTATCTCTCTTCTCCAGAAACCTGTGAGAAACAGCTTTTGTGAACTTATCTGTTAGAGCCAGCATTGAAAAAAAATCCAGCTTTTCTCTAATGGACCATGATCCTAGGTAACAAAATTATGGTAGTTGTGTCATGGGTTTTATTTGGTGTCTTATATTCTCTCTGAAAAAATAAAATGCCTAGCAGTGATTCACAAATTCTTTGGGGAATAAACACAAGTAAAATGTCTACATTTTCTTATAATTAGGGATACTATTAGGAAAATAAAAAATATATCTTCTTTTCTCCTCTCCCTTGAGATTTCAAATTACATGTTTTCTGCCTATCTTGTGAAGTTTTTTAAATCTTGGAAATTTAAGTGCCTGGCTGTGTGTACTAGATAAGATGAAAAGAGAACACCCAGTGAGGGGTTGAGGGAGCGAACACCGGTGCTGAGTGGGCAGCTTTGACTGAGGCAAGTGGTTACTCTATCTGATGACCCTGGTCTTTTTCAATTGCCTGTTTAGGTTTCTGCCTGTGTTTGCTTAGTACTGTTAGAAGTTGGGTGCACATGGCTTGGCGCAGTATAGCTGAAGCTGAGTGGGTTTCTGAGCCCAGAGAAGTCATGATGTATAAATGCTATATGGTATGAAACCATACAGATGGCACACATCAAAAGTTTTAGACAGAAAGACCCTGGGACATCATGTTTTAACATATATGTGTATTTGTACATACATGCAATTTATATACATATGTAGTTATCTTTTTAAAGATCACAAGCAGGGGGAGTGGCAGAGGGCGAGGGAGAAGCAGGCTCCCCACTGAGCAGGGAGGCCAACGTGGGGCTCGATCCCAGGACCCTGAGATCATGACCTGAGCTGAAGGCAGATGCTTAACTGACTGAGCCACCCAGGCACCCCCATACATATGTAGTTAATATTAAATTTACTTATATATGGGGAGATTGAGGCACAGAGAGATTTCTGCAGCTAGGGTGCCACAGCTAGATAGTGGCAGAGATTATTTCCATCCAATCCTTTGGACTTTGCTTTAAAAATCTGTTTACAGAGCATCATATTTACTTGATAATTTTGATTACCAAAATTTGATAAGTTTGGTGATCAAGGGATATGCCTTCTTCAAGATGCTCTGGCATTAGCTCTTGAAATTTAGAGAAGAGTTTTTAAGAAGTGGCTTGAAGCTTAAAAAGAGAAGGAGAAATGTGTAAGTAATCTATTATTGCATAATAGATACAAAAAAACCTTTTTGGATGCTTTTTTTGAGTTACTGCGGGATGATAGCAAAGGCGAAGAAGTGGCTTTTGAATTAATTCGGTTGAGTGAATTTCTTGACTTGTCCTGCTTGCCCAATCCATTGTTGTGGGGCTCACAGAGAAGTTCTGTTAACTTGTCAACAGCATTCAAAACAGTGGTAGCAACCATGAAAACATACTTACTGAAGATAGCCAGTTGGTCACATTTCTTAACCCCCTCATGAATCAACCATCCTCTGCATTTCGACTCTTAACTCTTTAGAAGATAGAAAAAAGACCATGTACTGGGACAGAAGAATGATGGCAAATTCAGAAAGGAAATTTGAACAGTGTTTTAGAATTCTGTGGGGATGGGGAAGTTGAGGGAGGGCAGGGGAGAAACTGACAGGGAAGAGTAGAAGGCAACGAATGATGAACTGATGTTGGCCCTTACACCAAATTAATCTTGCTCTTTTACCTTTTTTTTTTCCCCCCACTCTTGCTGGACCTTGTATTTTTTCACACTCTTATCATAAGGAGGAGGCAAAAAACCACAGGGCAGGAAACTGTCAAGAAAACAAGTTCTGGTGTCTTTTCTGTGGGCGTCACCCATCAACTTTCATTTTCCCACTAGTTATAGCTATAGTTCCATGATTGTTGTTCAGAGTGAAAAAGGTTACATTTCTCTTTAAGAAGGTAGGGGCAATGGTAATATATCTTAGAACATTTTACATTAAAAAGAATCGAGAATGCAAGTTTGGGGAAAACTCCAGATTCTAAAATGCTTACATACTAGGAAAGGGTGGTTACTGCTTCCTAACTTTGTCCCAGAGAGCCCAGCAAAACAGGTATTATATCACATTTTCTACGTGTACCTTTCCTGGGTTAGGCTTGCATGTACAGTCTTCCATTTTCCTGTTTGAATAAATGTCTTCTCTTTAACTTGAAACAGGACCCAGTAGGATATTAAGTGATGTATGTATGTAAACTTCATTAGTCCCACTTAAAAAAATTCCTTTGTCTGCTATTCTTTAATCTCATCAACTAATATTAAAAAGCTTCATGATCTGTTTTGTACATTTATCAATTGTTGCCTTTGGCCAACGTTAAATTAATACAGGTAATACTTTCTTCTGATATTATATTATTTTGTATCAGTAGAAAATGTTAAATGTCACTATTGAAAAGGAACATTCACAAAACCTTATTTTTTGAACATTTAGGCTAAAGCAACTCTTAAAGTTGTAAGCACGTTAAAAAAAAAAAAGCTTTAGAGATGTCACCATACCCTTGGGGTGGGCCCCATGCCCTCTCCTACTCCTTCAATGCCTCATTCACATATCAAACACGACCAGAAATGAAGCTATGTCTTCCCATTCTTCTTGACATACTCATTTGCTAAGGATAAAAACAGTGCAGCAGATGCTTGTAATCATTTCAGACTTTTCAACTTGTCTGGGACATCATGCTGTCTGACATCGTTCATTACTCCATATGAGAAAGGCACAAATAACTGCAAAGCAGGAATTTTAAGAAGCCATAAGGAATTGGGGCTGAATATACTGTGCTTTGATTATAGAGGCAAAAATGGCCAATTTTATGATGTAGGGGTGATCAAAGGTATGTTTTCCATGTGTAATTAGATGGTTGGTAAATACTTTCTCACAGCAAAAATATATGAGCAATGACAATTGCTAGCCTCATGTTAGTAAGAAAAGCATAAATTATACCATTTTATAATGATGGTTTGTTTTATCTATTTCACTTATGTACTTATATTTGTCATTTGGTAGTCTTTCTACTTGTTCAGTCTCATTAGGACTTAAGGATCAGGAGATTTACATGTTTTAAAAGGATTTCTTTTTTACTGTTACTGCTGGAGGACTAAAGGAGAGAAAAAAAGGAGTGACCAACGTATGAGTGTTAGTAATGTCCACCCAGCAGTTTGTTGGGACAGTTGAGTAATATGTAATTAATCGGTGACATTAAGAACAGTTATAGAAAGAATAACTTCTTCTGACCTTTTTTTTTTTTTTTTTTTAAAGATTTGTAGCCAAACCATGTGCCATAGCCCTCAACATTCAGGCCAATGGACCACAAATTGCCCAGCCAAATGCCATTCTGGAAAAGGTCTTCACTGCAATTACGAAGGTATGATTGTCCTTTTGTACAGTATGAATTATTATGACTGCCATTCTCAATCTGAAATTATTTAATCCCTTCTCTTCTCCTGGGTTTGAGAACTAATTGCCCAGCCTCATGTTGGAAAGAAGCTGGGTAGAAGCTGAATAAAAGCGGGCACGTTTGAGACCTCTTTGTTTACTCTCACATTGATTTTAGAAGCTTGTCTGTAAAGAACAGTCTAGATTAGATAGTGATTAGTCTAATTCTGTGCCTCTTTTAATCTCCCATGACATGAAGCAGTACATATAACAGTTGGATGGGATTTTGTGGAGATGATTGGGTAGAGCTGAGGAATATGATGACTGTATGGGCATACCTTGGAGATATCGTGGGTCTGGTCTGAGACCCCTGCAATAAAGCAAATACCACAATAAGGCGAGTCAAATGAATTTTTTGGTTTCCCAGTGCATATAAAAGTCATGTTTACACTGTATGGTAGTCTGCTAAGTAGGCAATAGTATTGTGTCGAAAAAAACAACGTAGATACCTTAATTAAAAAATACTTTATTGCTAAAAAATGCCAACCATCATCTGAGTTTTCAGCAAGTTGTAATCTTTTTGCTGGTGCAAGTTCTTGTCTCCATGTTGATGGCTGCTGACTGATTAGGGTGGTGGTTGCTGAAGTTTGGGGTGATTGTAGCAACTTCTTAAAATAAGACAGTAAGGAAGTTTGCTGCATTAATTGACTCTTCCTTTCATGAACAATGTCTCTGTAGCATGGGTAGCATGTGTAGCAATGCCATTTGATAGCATTTTACCCGCAGTTGAAATTCTTTCAAAATTGGAGTCAGTCCTCTCAGGCCCCACCACTGCTTTATCAACTCAGTTTACGTAATACTCTAAATATTTTCTTGTCATTTCAACAATCTTCACAGCATCTTCACCAGCAAGAGATTCTATCTCAGGAAACCACTTTCTTTGTTCATTCATAAGAAGCAACTTCTCATCCATTGAAGTTTTGTCAAGAGATTGCTGCAATTCAAAAATAATACTAATGAAAAGGTTTGAAATATTGCAAGAATTACCAAACCATGAGGCAGAAACATGAAGTGAGCCAATGCTATTAAAAAAAAAAATGTCCCAATAGACTTGTTCGATGCAGGGTTGCCACAGACCTTCAATATGTGAAAAATGCAGTGATCTGCAAAGCACAATAAACGAAGTGCAGTGAAACGAAGTATGCCGGTGTGTGAGAAAAAGTGCCCATCTGCTTCTAGCATTGTCCTTGTCCTTGTGTTCCTGCAGTTATGATACATAGGCAAATGTAAACAAAAGGGAATAATTGAAGGACAGAAGAGTTGTAACATGAAAGAATGAAGGACAAGGGTCTGGAGAGTTCTAAGTTACAGATTCACTATAGAGAGAGTAGGAGAAGAGACCATCGCTGTGGTGAGTTAAAGTCCAAACTAAGAGCAGGGGGAGCAGAGCAGGGCAGGGGGAAGATTGGAGCCCCTCAGCTGATAGCACCTTAAGAACAAAGAAGGGAGAAGAAAGAAAGAAGCCACAAACCCTCCATCTAAGGTCATGAGAAAAGGAAGCACATCACAGTGCCCAAGTATCTTCTTACTTGTATCTCTCTGTATCTTACTCTGGCATAGATGAGAAAGAAGACCAGGCGAAGTGTAACATTCTAGGGGAAGTGTTGTGTGTTTGTATATTAAATGGTTCATTTTTCCTTTTTCATTTTTCTGGGAAAATTAGTCAGGCTTCTAAAATGTGATTTGACAGCGTTAAGCAAGTTTTATTCCTATTTTGGTATTTGTATTGTTAAGCATTGGTATTACTTGTCTCTTGTCTGAAAACTATTAATTCAAATATTCAAACATTTTTCTGTATTTTATGGTCTTTACTTCTGCCAAGATTCTCTAGAATTTTCTCCTCTATCCTTTTAAAAATGATATTTTTCCTGGAGAAGTAGAAGAAAGCACTAGGTGTTTTTTATATCTCTGCTTGGAAGAAGAGAAGAATGTATGCGATTTTTCGAAAAACTCTCCTTCTGATAGTTTTATGGGCTGATTTTAGATTGCCAGCTTCTAACCTGAAGGGGCACATATCTTATGGTACTTAAAGGAAGAAAATATTAAGGAAACATTTGTATTTTCATTTAACATATCAATTTACTGCAGGAGACACTGCTTTCCCTCTGAAAAAAGCAGAAGTGTAGGAAGTTACCAGGTTTTTAAAAATGAGATTATATTTGTATTCACTTTATGAACTATTCTAAATGGATAATAAAACGAGTTTTCTACCCAAATGTTATGTATCCCTTCAGAAATTCTGCAGTGGACATTTTATTCCCTTGCCTTATGTTTATTATGGTTACTGGAGAAACTTTCTCTATAAAGGTAATAAAAGGATTTTGCAGTCAGGTTGACTGCTCTAGAGAATATTTGCTTCTAGCTAATTTTAATCATACTCTCTTAGTTTCCAAGGTGATTCTGTTGGACATTTTTACATGATTAGAGCAGAAACCTCATGTTTTAAACATAAATGCAGCAAAAGTTGGAACAGTTTTTCCTTGAATTCTTTATAGTTGTCCTGTGTTATTTATGATATGTTGTCCAGTGTTATTTATGATATGAGAAAGTAACAGGTCAGTTGACCAGAATAGAAGTAGACTCCAAGTAGATTTGGAGAGTCTCAGCAGTGTTTGTGTGTGTTTGAGTGATCATCCACCAACCTGGCCTTGACCATGATTCCAGGTCACCTTTGGAGAAGGGCTTGGTTATCATCTTTCAAATGTGTAGGGATGCACTCTCAAAACCCTTAAAACCGGCTCTGTATAGGACTGGCTACGTAATTTGTCAGGCCAATGCAGAAAGAAAATGAGGGGTCTCTTTTTCAAGAAGTATGAAAAAATACCATTCAAGGCATAAAAATAAAAAGCTTTTTCTTTTCTTTCGTAGGTTCTTTTCAATGTATTTTCTATTTGCCATTTAATGGTCATGCTCTCTCAGGCGTGGGGATACTCATGAGACAAGTACAGAGCCTCACGGGTACCTGGGGGCCTAACCCTCTGACTTAGTGCACACAGAGCCTTCCTGCCTGCCCTTCTCTGGCCAGGGGTGGAGAAATTGAGACAGGCTTCTCCCCTTTCTTGTGGCCCTACTACCCCAACCCACAGTGGACAGGTAACTCCCAAGTGTATCGCAGTCTCTACACCAGGACATACTTGGTACCTGGATTGGGGTGAGCAAGAGGCTCGTCCCTGTTGGTTCACCCCCCAAATGCATGGGGGCACTGCCAGCCTAGGGTGCAGGTGGCTGCCTCCACGTCTCACACTGACATACTGTGGGGTATGCACACCCAGCTCTAGCCCTTTCCATGCTTTCACCTGAGGCAGCAATAGTCACTAGGCAGAGTGGGGAGGGGGAGGAAGCCTGGGGAGCTTGGGGAACTTGGGGAGCCAGGAGACAGAGAAATAAGTTCCCTAGAACTTGTCTGGGAGAAGTGGTAGGACTGTGTGTGAGTTAAGACTGAGCCCTGACACAAGTTCCTCTGTCCACTGGACTTCATACACAAAATACCAATTCCCTTAAGAATTTTGAGATGGTAGCCATAGAACTTGAAACCCCAAGTGTGGGTCTTTCTGAATATGGATCTCTTTGTGACCGCCCTGGTCACATGCCGTGACTGTGTAGTTCTCACCTAATTATCTGATGAATTTGAACCCCTTGGTGTTCTTTAACAATCTTTCCTTCTGGGGTAAACATCTGTTTGTTTCTCTGTATATCTGGTATATATAAATGTGTGTGTGTATAGTTGTTTATATTTATTTATTTACATTGTGGGGATTCTTGTGCTGTATTATTGGCACATAATCTATCATCCCAATCATTTCACTTTTCTAATGAAATCAATTCTTGAGCCGCTGAGGGAAAATATATATGTCAGCTGTGAAACCGGGTTTTATAATCCAGAGAAATCATTTCATCATCCACTTTTGATATGTTAACTATATTTCAGAAATTAAAGGCAAATTTCCTATAATATGTTCTCCCTTATTCTCCTCTTATGCCTGTCTCTTTCTTTCCTTTTTACTTTCCTTTTCCCTTCCAGTATCAGTTATGAATATTAAAATCAACTTAGGTATTTCTGGAATAAAAATGTCTATATAAGTCAGCATTGTTCATTTCTTTCCTTGGAAATCTTTTTTTTTTTTAAAGATTTATTTATTTTAGAGAGAAGCGGGGGGAGAGAGAGAGTGCAAATGGGGGGAGTGGCGGGGGGGGGAGAGTGAGTCCTCAAGCAGACTCCCCGCTGAGGGCAGAACCCAACATGGGGCTCAGTCCCAGGACCCTGAGATCATGAACCCAGCTGAAATCAAGAGTCAGGCACTTAACTGACTGAGCCACCTAGGCATTCCCCTTGGAAATCTTAAAAAAGAAAAAAACTAAGGAAAATAATTAAAAATGCAAGGCAATTAAAAAACACAAAAAAGTAGGAAAATCTCCCAAACTTTATTTTTGGCAAACTAGTTCAAAATATATATAAAAGCTAACAAAGAACAGTTGGGAACCGGTTGGGCAGAAGCCAGGTAGGAAGAAGTGAAGAGCATGAAGTGTGAATGGAGAGCCCCATGGCGGTAGCTGTCAGGAAAGCCAGCAAAAAGACAGCTCTTGAATATGAGGGAGACAAAAGCTTCAACCACTGTTTGCAACACTAGGTACAGGAGCAAGGCCAACAGATGCTTCCTGGACTCAGTTTAATTCAGATAATTGGAATAAGTACACAGAAAACTATATGGATGGCACATTTGCAGGAGACAGTCTACCTCTATGGCAGCTGAACTGCAAGAGCCCTCTCCCTGCTCCTCAAACTACCAGGAGCGGGTCAAAGAAACCCAATTCATTCAGTGATGAGTAATAAGGAACACACACAGCATCAAAGACAAGAAAAAACAATGTGGTAGCAATGCTTATTAATAAAAATTGTCACTAGAAAAGTGAGGCCATGGGGCGAATGAA